TCGTTATAGCCAGGTAACATGGGTACGTCGTTATAGCCAGGTGACATGGGTACGTTGTTATAGCCAGGTAACATGGGTACGTTGTTATAGCCAGGTAACACGGTACGTTGTTATAGCCAGGTAACATGGGTACGTTGTTATAGCCAGGTAACACGGTACGTTGTTATAGCCAGGTAACATGGGTACATCGTTATAGCCAGGTAACAGGTATGTAATCATAGCTAATTACGCTGATATGTAATTGTGATCAGTGTTAACGAGATGTGTAATTGCGATCAGTGTTAACGAGATGTGTAATTGCGATCAGTGTTAACGAGATGTGTAATTGTGATCAGTGTTAACGAGATGTGTAATTGCGATCAGTGTTAACGAGATGTGTAATTGCGATCAGTGTTAACGAGATGTGTAATTGTGATCAGTGTTAACGAGATGTGTAATTGCGATCAGTGTTAACGAGATGTGTAATTGCGATCAGTGTTAACGAGATGTGTAATTGCGATCAGTGTTAACGAGATGTGTAATTGCGATCAGTGTTAACGAGATGTGTAATTGCGATCAGTTTTAACGAGATGTGTTTTGGTGTGTTTTGCAGAGATATTTGGCACGCAGGGCAAGCCAGCCATTGCTCACAGAGACATCAAGAGTAAAAACATACTAGTGAAGAAGAATGGTGTGTGTTGTATAGCAGACCTGGGTCTAGCAGTACGCTATCTGAGGTAAGATATCCCGCGCCCTCCTGCCTTGCCTACCTGCTCTCCTCACCCTCTACTGCCCACGTGTTTACTGTGACTATGAGAAGGTATCTTTTGGGCAAGTTGTGAAGAATTGAGTGAATTATTATATAGGCGTTGTAACTTGAATAAATATGTTGCAATATATGAATGATATATACTACAATACTTGAATAACTACAATATATTGTCTCTACCGTCTATCTACGTCACTAACTGTGTCTGTATGTGTGGCGTGGTTGCAGTGACACCAACGAGGTAGACATCGCTTCTAACACGCGGGTCGGCACGCGTCGCTACATGGCTCCCGAGGTGCTGGACGATCAGCTAGACGCGACCCACTTTGACTCCTACCGCATGGCTGACATGTACAGCTTTGGTCTCGTGCTGTGGGAGATAGCAAGGCGTTGCTCCTCTGCAGGTAGGTAGAGAAGGAGGGAGAGGGAGGAAGGAAGGGGAAGGAGGGAGAGGATAGGAGGGAGGAGGGGAGGGGAAGGGACGGTCGAGCTGTGGGAGATAGCAAGGCGTTGCTCCTCTGCAGGTAGATAGAGAAGGAAGGGGAAGGAGGGAGAAGGAGGAAGGAAGGGGATGGAGTGAGGGAGGAGGGAGAGGTGAGGTGGAGGCTGCTGCTACTGCTGGTGGGTGTAGAGTGTAGGTATAGGTGTAGGTGTTAGATGTTGGTGTAGGTGTAGGTGTGAGTGGTACAGGTGTAGGTGGTGGGTGTAGGTGTTGTAGTCAGGTACAGGCCGCAGATGCTATGGTGGTGGGTGTAGGTGTAGCTGTACCGTGCTACGGTGTAGAATGTTGGTGTAGGTGTGATTTCGTAACAGGTGTACGGATTAGCGTCGTGAGTGCGCTACAGGTTTGTAGCTGCTAGGTAGTGTAGGTGAGTGGTACAGGTGTTAGGTGTAGGATGTAGGGGTGTTAGGTGTAGAGTGTAAGGTTGTGAGTGGGGTCATAGGTGTAGTGTGTGAGTGGCTACAGGTGTACGGTGCGTGGGTGTTAGGTGTTGTAGGTGATGTGGTAGTGGTGGCTTGGGTGCAGGCGTACCATAGTGTATGGCTGTTAGGTGTAGGTTCGTTGTTGCCTTGTGTGTTGGTAGTGGTGGCTGGGTGCAGGGCCCATGTGTATGGCTGTAGGTGGTAGTGTTGTTGCGGTGTGTGGTTAGTTGGTGGTGGTGATGCAGGGCCCATGTGTATGGTGTTAGGTGTAGGTGTGTTGCGTTGTGTGGCTTAGTGGTGAGCTGGTCTGCAGGCCCCATGTGTATGGTGTAGGTGTAGGTGTGTTTGGTGATGTGTATGTCGGTTGCTCTGGGTGCAGGGCCCATGTGATGATGGTGTAGGTGGTTGTTGCGTTGTGTGTCGGGTAGTGGTGGCTGGGGTGCAGGGTCCCATGTGTATGGTGTAGGTAGGTGGTGGGTGTAGGTGTTGTTGGTGTGTGCGGTAGTGGTGGCTGCGGTGCATCGGCCCCATGTGTATGCGTGTACGGTTGTAGCGGTGTTGTATGGTGCTGTTAGGTGGTGGGCTTGTGCAGGGCCCCATGTGTTCATGGTGTAGGTGTTGTTGGTGTGTGGTAGTGTAGGGGTGTTGGCTGGGTGCAGGCGCCCCATGTCGTATGGTGTATGGTAGGTGAGTGGGCGGTGTAGGTTTGTTGCGTGTGTGGTAAGTGGCTTTGGCTGCGGTGCAGGGCCCCATGTTGTATGGTGTACGGTGATTAGTGTGCTTGTTGCGTGTGTGGTAGTGGTGGCTGGCAAGTGCAGGGCCCCATGTGTATGCGTGTACGGTGTTGTTGGATGTTGTGCAGTAGTGACGTGGCCTGGTGCAGGGTCCAGTGTATTGGTGTAAGGTGATTGTTGTGTTGTGTGGTAGTGCGTGAGCTGGTGCAAGCGGCCCATGTGTCTGCGTGTAGGTTCGTTGTTGGTGCTTGTGGTAGTTGTGGCTGTGCGGCAGGGGCCATGTGTATTGGTGTAGGTATTGTTGGTGTTGTGAGTGTGGTGGCCTGGTTGCAGGCCGTCCCATGTGTATGGTGTACGGTGTAGGTGTTGATAGGTGTGTGGTAAGTGGTGGCCTGGGTGCAGGGCCCCATGTGAATAATATGTGTTAGCGTGTTGTTGCGTGTTGGTTAGCTGGTGGCTGGGTGCATGGCCCATGGTGTATGTTGTGTAGGTGTTGTTTGGTGTGTGGTAGTGGTGGCTGGGTGCGGGCCCCATGTGTATGGATGTAGGTGTGCGTGTTGTTGGTTGTGTCGTAGTGGTGCGCTGGAGTGGCAGGTCCCATGTGTATCGGTGTACGGTTGTTGTTGGTGTGTGGTCTAGTGGTGGCCTGGGGCAGCAGTCCCAATGTGTATTCGATGTAGGTGTTATGGTGTTGGTATGGTGTGTGGTTGGTGGCTGGCGTGCAGGGTCCATGTGTATGGGTGTAGGGTTAGGTGTTGTAGCGTGTTGTAGTCTGTGGCTGGCGTGCAGCAGGTCCATGTGTATTGATGAGCGTGTAGTAGCTTGTGTCCGGGTGTGTGGTAGTGGTGGCTGGGTGCAGGGTCCCATGTGTACTGGTGTTAGGGTGTTTGTTGGTGTGTGGTAGTGGTTGGCTGGGTTGACAGGGCCCCCATTTTGTGTCTGGCGTTAGGTGTTGTTGGGGATGTGTGGGTTAGTTGGTGGGCTGGCGTGCAGGGCCCCATGTGTATGTGTGTAGGGATGTTTCGTTGGTGTGTGGCGTAGTGGAATGGTCTGGGTGCAGGGCCATGTGTAATGTGTAGGTGCTTGTTGAGATTGTGTGTTACGTGGGCTGGATGGAGTGCAGGGGCCCCATGATGTATGGGTGTAGTTAGTGTGTGTGTGTTGTACGGTGTTGTTGGGTGTGTGGTAGTGGTGGTGGAGTGCAGGGCCCATGTGTTATTTGGCTGTAGGTGTACGAGTGTGTGTATGTTGGTAGTGGTGGCGGCCGTGCGGGCCCCATGTGTATTATGGTGTTAGGTGTAGTGTGGTTGGTGTGTGGTAGTGGTGCTGGCGTTGCAGGGTCTATGTGTCTATTAGTGCTAGCGGTGTTGTTGGCCCTGTGTGGTCAGTGGTGGCTGGGTCGGCACGGCCGTCCCATGGTGTAATGCGTGTAGGTGTTGTTGGTGTGTGGTTGTGGTGGCTGGGTGACAGCGGCCCCATGTGGTATGGTGTAGGTGTTGTGGTTGTGTTGGTAGTGGTGGCTGGGTGAGGGCCCATGTGTATGGTGTTAGGTAAGGGGTGTGTGGGTGTATGGTGTTGTTGGGTGCTGTGGTAGTGGTGGCCTGCGGTGCAGAGGCCCCATGGTGTTATGGTGCTAGGTGTTGTTGCGTGTGTGGTAGTGGTGGGCTGGGTGCAGGGCCCATGTGTTATGGTGTTAGGTGTTGTTGGTGGGTTTGGTAGTTGGTGGCTGGCGTGCAGGGCCCCATGTTGTATTGGTGTAGGTGTTGTTGGTGTGTGGTAGTGGTGGGCCCTGGGTGCCAGGGGGCCCCCATGTGTATGGTGTAGGTGATAGGTGTTTGTTGCGTGAGTGTGTAGTGCGTCGGCTGCGCGTGCAGGGGCCCCATGTTGTATGTGTAGGTGTTTGTTGGCGGTTGTGTGGTAGTGGTGGCACAGCCTGTCGGTGCAGCGGCCCATGTGCTATGGTTGTTACGCGTTGTTGTTGGTGTGTGGCTAGTGGTGGCTGGGATGCTAAGCGCGCCCATTTGTGATGGTTGTAGGTGTTGTTCGCGTGTGTGCGTAGTGGTGGCTGGGTGCAGGCCAATGTGTATGGTGTAGGTGTTGTTGGTGTGTGGTAGTGGTGGCTGGGTGCAGAGGGGTCCCATGTGATGGTGTAGCCGTGTTTACGGTGTTGTTGGTGTGTGGCTAGTGTGGTGGCCTGGGTTGCAGGCGCCCCCATGTGTATGGTGTAGCGTGTTGGTTGGTGCTTGTGGTAGTGGTGGCTGGCGTGCAGGAACCCCAGTGTGTAGGCGTATGAGTGTTGTTGGTCTGTGGTATGTGGGCTAGCTGGCGTTGCAGGGGCCCATGGTTTATGGTGTAGGTGTTGTCTGAGTGTGTGGTAGTCGGTAGGCTGGAGTTGAGGGCCCCATTGTGTATGATGTAGTGTTGTTTGCGTTGTGTAGGTAGTGGTGGCTGGGTGCAAGGGCCCGCATGTGTTATGACATGTAGGTCGTTGTTGGCCTTGTGTGGTAGTGGTGGCTGGAGTGCAGGGCCCCCATGTGTATGTTTAGGTTTGTTTGGACTGCTGTGGTATGTGCGCTTGGTGAGTGGGCCCCATGTGTTGGTGTTAGGTGTTTGTTGGTGTGTGCGTAATGTGGGGGTGTGGCTGGGTGCAGCGGCCCATGTGTATGGTGTATGGTGTTGTTAGTGCTGTGGTAGTTGGTGTGTGGGTGCAGCGGTCCATTGCTGTATGGTGTAGCGTGTTGTTGGTGTGTGGTAGTGGGTGGCTGGGTGCAGGCGCCCCATGTGTATGGTGTAGGTGTTGTTTGGTTGTGTGGGGTAGTTGCGGTTGTCTGGGCTGCAGGGCCCCATGTGTATGGTTAGGTGCTTGGTTGGTCGTGTGGTAGTGGTGGCCTGGGTGCAGGGCCCATGTGTATTGGTGTAGGATCGTTGTATGGTGCATGTACGGTAGTGGTGGCTGGGTGCAGGACCCCATGTGTATGGTGTAAGGTGTTCGTTGCTTTCGTTCGCTGGTTGGTAGTGGTGGCTGGGTGCAGCGGCCCCCATGTGTATGGTATGGTGTAAGTTGTTGTTGGTGTCGTGGTAGTGGTGGCTGTGCCTGTGCAGGACCCCATCGAATGTGATATGCGTGTAGGTGTTTCGTTCGGTGCTGTGGTATTGGTGGCTGGTCGTTGCAGGACCCCATGTGTATTGGTGTAGGTGTTGTTCGGTGTTGTGGTAGTGGTTGGCTGGGATGGCAGGGCCCCATGTGTATGGTGTAATGGTTGTATGAGTGTGTTGTAGTGGTCGCTGGGTGCCAGGACTGCCATGTGTTATGGCTGTAGAGTGTTGTTGCAGTGTGTGGTATAGTTGGCTGGCCTGGTGTGCAGGGTCCATGTGTATTTGGTGTAGGTGTTGTTAGGGTGTGCTGGTAGTGGTGGCTGGTGGATGCAGGGCCCATGTGTATGTGTAGGTTGTTGTTGGTGTTGGTAGTGGTGGCTGCGGTGCAGGTCCCATGGTGATATTGGTCTGTAGGTGTTGTTTGGTGTGTGGAGTGAGTGCTGGGTGCATGCGGCCCCATGTATGGCTGTAGTGTGTAGGTGTTGTTGGTGGAATGTGGCAGTGGTGCTGGGTGCAGGGCCCCATTGTGTCTGGTGTACGGGTGTTGTGGTTTGATGTGGTCTGGTAGTGGCTGGCTGGGTGCAGGGCCCATGTGTATGGCTGTAGGGATGTTGGTTGGTGTGTGGTAGTAGTGGCCTGGCGTGCGGACCCCATCCATGTTAGTATGGTGTCACGGTGCTTTGTTTGGTGTGTGGTAGTGGTGGCTGGCTGCAGCGGTCCCATGTGTATGCGTTGATAGGTGTGTCGGATGTGCTGGTAGTGGTGCGCTGGGTTGCAGGCGTCCCATGTGTATGGTGTAGGTGCTTGTTGGCTGTGTGGTAGTGTGGCTGGTGCAGGGCCCCACTGTGTTATGGTGTAGGTGTTGTTGTGTGATGTTCGGTATGTGGCTGGCTGGGTGCTAGGGCCCCATGTGTTATGGTTGTAGGTGTTGTTGGCTTGTGGTAGTGGTGGCTGGGGTGCGCAGGGCCCCATGTGATATGGTGCTAAGGTCATTGTTGGTGTGTGAGTGTTGGTGGCTGGGTGCAGGCGTCCCATGTGTTATGCGTGTAGGTGTAGGTGTTAGATTGGTGTGTCGGTAGTGGTGGCTGGGTGCAGCGGCCCCATGTGATTGGTGTATGGTAAGGTGGTGGGTGGTGTAGGTGTTGTTGCTGTGTGTGTAGTGGTTGGCTGGGTGTGCGGGTCCAATGTGTATGTTGTAGGTGTGTTGGTGTGTTGGTAGTGCGTGGCTGGGTGCAGGGTCATGTGTATTGGTGTTAGTGTGTTGGTTGTTGTGTGTAGGATAAGTGGTGTGGCTCGGGTGCAGCGGCCCATGTGTATGGTGTACGGTAGTTGTTTGACGTTGATGTGGTAGTGTGGCCTGGTCTGTGCAGGGCCCCATGTGGTATTGTTGTAGGTAGGTGTGGCGTGTAGGTGTTGTTGCGTGTGCTGGCTTAGTTGGTGGCTGGGTGCAGGGCCCCATGTGTATGGTGTAGGTGTTGTTGGTGTGTGTAGTGGATGGCTGGGCTGCAGCGGCCCCAATGTGTATGCGCTGTAGGAGTGTAGGTGTTGTTGGTGTGTGTGGTAGTGCGTGGCTGGCGTGCAGGCCCCACGTGTATGGGTATGTTAGGTGTTGTGGTGTGATGGTATGTGAGTGGCTGGGTGCAAGGCGTCCCATGTGTATGGTGTAGGTGTTGTTGCGTGTGTGGTAATGTGGTGGCCTGGGTGCACGGTCCATGTGTTATGACCAGTGATAGGCTGTAGGATGTTCGTTGGTCTGTGTGGTATGTGGTTGGGCTGGGTGTCAGGGTCCCACTGTGTTTTGACCAGTGTAGGTGTTATGGTGTTGGTTGGGTGTGTGGTTAGTGGTGGCTGGGTGCCAGCGCGCCCCTATTGTAGTATGCGTTGTTAGGTGTTGTAGGTTGATGTGGTAGTGGATGGCTGCGGTGCCAGCGGCCCCCGATGGTTGGTGATATGTGTTAGGTTGGGTTGTTGGTGTCGTTGGTAGTGGTGGCTGGGTTGCAGGCCACATGTGTATTGCCGTGTAGTTTGGTTGAGTGTGTAGGTGTGGTGCTGGGTGCATTGGGCCCCCATTGTGTATGGTGTAGGTGTTTGTTGGTTTGTGAATCAGGTAGTGGCTTGCTGGGGTGCAAGGGCCCCATGTGATATGGTGTAGGTGTTGTTGGTGTGTGGTAGTGGTGGCTGGGTGCAGGGCCCCATGTGTATGGTGTAGGTGTAGGTGTTGTTGGTGTGTGGTAGTGGTGGCTGGGTGCAGGGTCCCCAACCCAGCCACCACTACCACACACCAACAACACCTACACCATACACATGTAGGTGTTGTTGGTGTGTGGTAGTGGTGGCTGGGTGCAGGGTCCCATGTGTATGGTGTAGGTGTTGTTGGTGTGTGGTAGTGGTGGCTGGGTGCAGGGCCCCATGTGTATGGTGTAGGTGTTGTTGGTGTGTGGTAGTGGTGGCTGGGTGCAGGGCCCCATGTGTATGAGAGCGTGTGCAACCAGCCAGCCAACCTTTCATTATCTCAGTCCCCCGCTGTGATTGCCTGTCATTGTATTAGCACGCCCGTGTGTGCAGCACGCGCCAACTCCTGTTTGGTTGGTTAACATATGACCAACGCTTTGATGCGAAATTATCAAAGGCTAATAGTTACAGGAACGTATCGATCGGTGCGTGCGCGGCCCGTAGAAATCCAATAATTCTCAGGTGACGGCGGAGCGTGGAATGTGCTGCCACCTACCGTTGCAAAACGTGATGAATTGCGGGGATAAATGGGTGGTTGGGTAAAGGGGGTGGGGATGCTGCGATGAGAGAGGCTTGTTAGAGACGTGATAGAGTTGGAAGTTGATATATAGGAGGCTGGAAATGAACTCAGTGGAATAGCTGGGGGTAGCTTCACTCTGTCTAGTTATAACAACAGCGGCAACAACATTTACAACTAATCTTTATCTGTGTTGGCATTATAGAGATATATCAGGAACTTTACTGTGTTTACTGTTTACCTTTATACTTTCATTACATCAACACATCTACATGGCATCTTAAATCGTTAATAATAATAAAAATAATAATAATAACATCAACAGTAATAATAATGACATTAATATTAATAATAATAATGATAATGATAACAACCCCCGCACGTGCCTGCAGGCATCATTGAGGAATACCAGCCACCGTACTACGATACCATCTCACCCGACCCAGGCTTTGATGAGATGAGGAAGGTGG